GAAGAGAAAGAGCACCATTTTTACATTAGTACAGTAATGTGCCGATCTGTACATGTAAACTGTCGGAAAATATGTAGTCGTCAACAAAAAATGTCGCCGCTGCCTCATGAGTGAGTGACGTCCATGTTGCTGCTCTACAACGACCCAGTCTTCGTTACAGAAGGCGATCCTGTCGCTACTGATGGTATGTTAATCCTTAACTATGTGTGTTACCTGTGATGAATAATTAAGTTTAACTGATCATGACATAGAGATGCGACAATGTCCATGTGTATTTCAGAAAAGTGATATTGATGATAACGATACGGTATTTACTGCATGATATCGCTTGATAAGGATAAAAGGATATCCGGTTTTGAATTGTAATATAGTATTTTCTTGCGGAGCATGAGATTGGGGTGAGGCATGTCCAAAGAGCTTTAATCCTGCATGCCTCGACATCGAGGTGACGGTTTCTGAGAGGAGACAACGCGTCTAGAAAAACGACACCCCAATTTATTCAATACATGACCATTATTCAATAAAGAGTCAAATTCAGTGTGTTTTGCTTTTATGGAGGTATAAGCGTAAAAACAACATGTCCGAACACTATTTGTATTTACACAATGTGCACACAAGGTTTTTTGCACCTTTGTACCTCCAAAAAAAACCAAAACAAAACACAAAATGCAAAAATATTGCTTGGTCTGCAAAAAAAAACCCATGGAATTACTTGCAATTTCATGACGGAAGTGAACGGTGTGTGAGAAGTCTTACAGTTAGGTATTGGAATCTTCATTCTCATAACATCCTACAGCTCTGATGTTAAACTTTTACTGGCCATATTGTTGAAACATATATTCTCTGTCAGTTTTTGTGTATCATGAATTACGTGACAAAACAAATGAAACTGTAATGTCGCGCTGTGGCCTTAAATATCGAATAAAATGTCAGTATGTCTGTTCTGAGTGAAAAAAAACTTGAATTACCGGAACGCTTATGACAGGCAGTTTTTTCAAGGTTTCATTTTACTGAATTGAAAAAAAATAATTAGCTTGGGTATGTTGCATTCGGGATTCTAACACACGATCAGCCGAACCTGGTAGGAGTAAGGGAGCAGTAAATTATAGACAACAACCCATCCAACACTCCGACCGATCATGGTGCTTTAGTTCTTAGTGCCTTATAGGTTTTCATATTTGGTGCAAGTTAAGCATAAAGAACACACTCAAATAGGAATGCACTGCTAGATGTTGAATATTTGCCATTTGTAGGGTTATAATAACTATCATCAGTATTTTCGATGCAGCATCATTTCCAAGAATTCTAAAAAAAACGGTCAAACTTCCCTTTCCAGATGACACACAAAACAGTCAAATTCCCCTTTCCAGATAACTCACAAAACAGTCAAACTTCTCTTTCCAGATAACTCACGAAACAGTCAAACTTCCCTTTCCACATTATTCACAAAAAGTCAAACTTCCCTTTCAAGATTACTTACAAAAATTCAAACTTCTCTTTCCAGATAACTCACAATACAGTCAAACGTCTCTTTCCAGATAACTCACAAACGGTCAAACGTCTCTCTCCAGATAAACCACAAGACAGTCAAACGTCTCTTTCCAGATAACTCACAAAACAGTCAAACGTCTCTCTCCAGATAAACCACAAGACAGTCAAACGTCTCTTTCCAGATAACTCACAAAACAGTCAAACGTCTCTTTCCAGATAACTCACAAAACAGTCAAACGTCTCTTTCCAGATAACTCACAAAACAGTCAAACGTCTCTTTCCAGATAACTCACAAACAGTCAAACGTCTCTCTCCAGATAAACCACAAAATAGTTAAACGTCTCTTTCCAGATAACTCACAAAACAGTCAAACGTCTCTTTCCAGAAAACTCACAAAAAGTCAAACTTCCCTTTCCAGATAACTCACAAAACAGTCAAACGTCTCTTTCCAGATAACTCACAAAACAGTCAAACTTCCCTTTCCAGATAACTCACAAAACAGTCAAACGTCTCTTTCCAGATAACTTACAAAACAGTCAAACTTCCCTTTCCAGATTACACACAAAACAGTCGAACTTCCCTTTCCAGATAACTCACAAAACAGTCAAACTTCTCTTTCCAGATAACTCACAAAACAGTCAAGCTTCCCTTTCCAGATAACTCACAAAACAGTCAAACTTATCTTTCCACATAACTCACAAAACAGTCAAACTTCCCTTTCCAGATTACACACAAAACAGTCAAACCTCCCTTTCCAGATAACTCACAAAACAGTCAAACGTCTCTTTCCAGATAACTCACAAAACAGTCAAACTTCTCTTTCCAGATAACTCACAAAACAGTCAAACTTCTTTTTCCAGATAACTCACAAAACAGTCAAATTTCCCTTTCCAGATAACTCACAAAACAGTCAAACTTCTCTTTCCAGATAACTCACAAAACAGTCAAACTTCCCTTTCCAAATAACTCACAAAACAGTCAAACCTCTTTCCAAATAACTCACAAAACAGTCAAACTTCTCTTTCCAGATAACTCACAAAACAGTCAAACTTCCCTTTCCAGATTACTCACAAAACAGTCAGACTTCTTTTTCCAGATAAGTCCCAAAACAGTCAAACTTCCCTTTCCAGATTACTCACAAACCAGTCAAACTTCCCTTTCCAGATAACTCACAAAACAGTCAAACTTCTCTTTCCAGATAAGTCACAAAACAGTCAAACTTCCCTTTCCAGATTACTCACAAAACAGTCAAACGTTTCTTTCCAGGTAACTCACAAACAGTCAAACTTCTCTCTCCAGATAACTCACAAAACAGTCAAACTGGTCTGTATCGTTAACTCACAAACCAGTCAAGCTGTCTTCCTTTGCAGATACAATTAACTGATACACAATGCCTACAGCTCTTGTGAACCTCTTGTGTATCTTTTTATACTTTTCTCATCTTGGGATTCACATGTCAGGAACAAAAAAGTGACATTCTTTCCACTCTTACGCACTGCCCATAGATTACCAAAATTGGACAAGACAGATTTTCAATTTGTCATGATTAGAAAGGATGTTGAGCAAATGATGATAAAGTAGTTTGTTTTCAAATTGAAGCCGTGCAACCAAACTATCAAATTAAAGGACAGAGGACACGTCGAAGTCGTCAACAGGCTATCAGTTTTGACATTTTAAAGGTTTTCAAATTTCAGGCGCACTTCACAGAAATAGTAGAGCCATTAATCCTTAGCTTTAATTATAAGCAGTCAAAACTGAACATTGTAGCTGAGGTTTCAGTCCAAAATGTACATTGAAGGCTAGAGGTTTACTCGGTGCCAATTCATATTGTAAATGTATGTAAGAACTTTACTAGGTTTGTGTCGGGCAAACGGTTGGACCAGTCGTCTAAGGCGCCGCAATTCGCTGTGCAGAGTTGCGTCCCCTTGGCACGCCAGGAGACTGTGATTGTGAGTTCGAATCCCGGTTCGTTCTAATTATGTTCCGAGTTTGTCAGCACCATACTCGTGCTCGGGGGCTTCCCTCACACATTAAGCTGACACACCGTTATACTCGAATAGTGCTGCATTAAAGTCCAATTCACTTACTCACCCACGAGGTTGCAGCCTTAAGTTTACACAATACATTTTTCGATTAATGTCTTTAGTTTATTCTCTATTGCAAGTGTGAACTATACAAAGGTTAAACACCGATGGAGCACATTGTACGTTATATCGGTTGAGATTTTCTGTTGAAAAGATTTCCCATTACCTCGTGCGATTAAACAGAAGGGGCAGAGTTCTCAGCTCAGCTGGTTGCGTGTCATCGTAACCTACGATGTGGATGATTTGATTCTGTATAACACGATTATTTATAAGCCATCGTGATAAAGCTGGGCAGCAGCCTCCTATGGCAAATAGCATACATATACATTCATAAATTCACTCGCATTGAAGATAATAGCATCCGAATAATAATTACAATCCACAGTTTCTGAAGAGGAACTTGGACATTTTGTTAATGTATCGAAGTGACATTACTATGATTTGTTAATTAAACTAAGATCTTCCATATGTTGACTGTGGTTCCCATGTAGTCACAGGCGTCACAATTATATATGCAGACTTGCTTCCCTTAGGCGGACCAGAATCATATAATCGTGGGTTCGAATCCCAGTGTTATCCTTGATGTTGTTTCTAGGTTTGTCAACACCAGGGTCTGTGGGTTGCACCAAAGTCTAAAGCCTACATAATTATCATCCCCAGGGAACTTGACAGGCTGTGATATAACTGAAATACTATTCAAAGCGGTGTCGAACCAAGCTCATCCACTGACTGTTTCACTATATGGCAGTGGTAACGGCGGGAATATTGAAATAATTGTATTCACATCTTAGATTGTAGTCGAACCCACGTCCTTCAGTTTTATCAAAATTCAAAAAAATATATCGCCTCATCCGTTTTTTTTTTGGGGGGGTGGGGGGCACGGGTGGCCCAGTCGTCTAAGACGCCGCGATTCGCTGTGCAGAGTTGCGTGCCTTCGGACGCGCCAGAAACCTATGATTGTGGGTTCGAATCCCGATGCGCACCGATTGTGTTTCTAGGTTTGTCAGCACCATACCCGTGCTCGTGGGTTTAATTTCACCGAAGTGGTAAACGTCTGAGACCTGCATCACTTCGGGCTTTCCTCCCACATTAAGCTGACACGCCGTGATATAACTGTAATACTGTTAAAAGCGGCGTTAAACCCAACTCACTCACTAACCCATCCGTATTGTGGTGACATATTTACAATGAACGTTTCAACACTTGCCACAATATTTCATATTTATTTTGTTTAAAGGGATTTATATTTATAAATGAAAGTGACAACGAGGTTATGTTTAAATGGAAAATATTTCCAAGTGCGGTGAACCTTTACCACTCAAAATATTTGATCTGTAATGACCATTCGTGAAAAAATAATGTTATTTTGACATAGTTCAATAGACAAAATATAGGTCAGTTTCTAACATGACAACACACGACTGCTCACTTCTCTTGACTGCGATATCTGACCAGCGGTCGTTCAACGGAATCCCATATCAAAGCAGTGTTAAATCGTATTGACATGCGAGACGTCAACGTAACGTACTGGGCACCAGATTGACCTCGTTTTCGTTCTCGACAAAAGAGGACGTCGCGAAACTGCTTCCTGAACCGCCTTGCGCTGAACGAGTACAGATAAAAGTTCACGGCGTGGGTAGAATCGCACATGACGTAAGCGAGAGTGTCCAGAAGGTACACAATGGCTCCTTTCGTCGTGGTCATGGGGGCGGTCAAGGACGTTGAGAGGATGAGAAAGACGCAACGAGGAGTAGTGAGGAGGATCATTACAAACGCCGACGTCACTAGCATGACGGTAATTTGACGTTGCCGATACGACGTAAAATGGCCATTATCCTTGGCCTTACTTCGGTTTAGATACCTGCTTACCCTTCTAGACATCACAATCCCTGCAACGATGAGACTGTTGAAGAGCAAGAGTAAAGCAAAGGGTAGGATGGCATAGATCGCGACATTAATCCAGTACCAACATTCCGTGATGAACCCAACGTATTCTGCATGTACGCCACAGTAAGCTGCGTTGGGTGGCTCCGCGGGGACGTAATCAGTCGTCCAAAACAAATGAAGAAAAAGAGCTATCAAAGGAACCGTTATTCCTCCGACAACAATCAAAGACTTTTTGAAAGTCCAATTCTGACCAAGTTTCAAAGGGTACCACACTGCAGCGAATCTTTCCACGGACAAAGCTACAAGAATCCAGTTGCCAAGGGTGATGAGAAAGTTTCCACAAAAACCAAGAAATTTACATCCAAATGAACCGATGTCAACTCCATGATCTGTCAGAACAAATATGAGAAGCTTGATGACGATGGCGAGGTTGTCGACGATGGCGAGGAGGGCAATGTAGACGGTGAGAGACCTTGTTGGAGACATCTTGATGATTGTGATGATCGTTGCACTGTTGCCAGGAAACCCCAGGAAAAGGATGACCCACAGGTAATACGTCTCGATGTTGTACGCTACGTTATCAATAACTTTCCAGTTGCTGGCATCAGTGGCCTCCGTCGTTGATGACGTTGTGGAGTCGGTAAAGTTGAACGTTGTCGATGCCATTGTGGTGATCAGATTGTGACCCTGTAAACAATTACAAAGAAATATAATTCATACAACTAATTGGTGTATTTTACCAAAACACTATCCACAAGACTTCAGATGTGACAGGAAGGGTGACTTCAATTGTCCAATTGTCCCTTCAAGTTAAGCAAAATTCCAGACAATCAAGACCTGGCAAATTTGGTACTCTGTGACTGGTAAAAAGATTATTGCCTTTGTATATATGTCTCTGTAGACGTTACAACATACGAGGTAGCATCCTCTCAACTCTTTTTTTCTTGTACCTTCGCTATATGTTTTTTTAGTGTTGTTTGTTCTTTAACGCCGGAATATTCCAGCTATATGACGGCGGTCTGTAAATTAACGACACTGGACTCGTGAGCATCGATCCACGCAATTGGGATTGATGAGATGCACCAACCAAGTCAGCGAGCCTGACCACTCGATCCCGTAAGTCGCCTCTCACGACAAGCATAGTCGACTTTCATTTCAAGCATGGGTTGCTGAAGACCTATTCTACCCCGGTCTTCACGCCTGGACCAGACAATCCAGTGATTAATATCATGAGCATCGATCCACGCATTTGGGATCGATGACATGCATCAACCAAGTCAGCGAGCCTGACCAGCCGATCCCGTTAGTCGCCTTTTACGACAAGCATAGTCATCTCTTACGGCAAGCATGGGTTGCTGAAGACTTCTTGTGAATATGTACTTAATGTTCAGCAAACGTCATGTACTGTTACTATTCATAGTGAACCCGTTAGTCGCCTCTTACGACAAGCATGGGTTGCTGAATCCCACCATCACTATATGATATATGACTAATATATATTTACTAATTATCTAATTTTAATATTATATTACTAATAACTGATTCATAAACACATGCTCATTACATATCCGTGATCGTGCAGTGGTCTTCTTGTTAAGACTAAAGCTAAGCGCCACACACAGCGGTAATATCAAACAGGAAGGACATGCTCAGCCAAAACCTGAGGGGACGAGGATGCCGAAGTCATCTGTCCACAGTTGCGCGACAGAGTCGTGTCGGAAACGAATGTATGTTAAAATCCAGGATCGATCCCGATTATATTACGTTTACCCACCAGCATCGTAGCTTTCAGCCAAAGGGGTAAACGTCTGAGACCTGCATCACTTTGAACTTTCTTCTCCCATCAAGCTGACACGCCGTGATGTAAGTGAAACAGTGTTCTAAGCCGCGTTCAACCAAACTCACTTACATGGCGTGGATATGACACGGATCAAGATTGAATCGAATTGAGGCGTGGGTGTAGGCTGTTCGTGAACTGCTTCGAAACGGCACCAGTATTGCATTTGTCTTGCGAAAGGTGCACCAGAATGGGTCAATACGGCAGCATATAAATTTATAATCCATATGTTCATCATCCTTTGTGAACAAAACTGCACTTGAATATCACCCTGGAATATGACATACTCAAACAATTATTCAAATTCTACTGAATAACGGCAGGTCTGAAAATAGTACAACAAAAGTTCACTAAGTCAAGACGCAGTTGGTTGGTTTGTTGTTTAACCTTAACCTTGCAGTTGTCGTTTTCGTCAACATGGCGCCGTATCTGTAACCCTGTTGAGTCTTAGACTATTATGTACCCCTTCCACAGTGAGACATCGGTAACACACACACACACACACACACACACACACACACACACACACACACACACGCTTCTATAGGTTTCTATCGCCTGAGAGGCTATACAACCACGGAAAATGTTACATCGAGTGATCATGACGTTAGGCCACACAAACATGTTTATTATGAATTCCAGATTGAAACTTTGGCAAGGTGACCAATCTGTCTTTTACAAACAGCGAATGAAATTTGGGTTGGGTTGGGTTGGTTTGTTGTTTAACGCCGCAATCAGCAGTATTCCAGCTATTTGACGGCGGTCTGTAAAATAATGTAGACAGATGCTGTACGTTCCAGTATTAGTATTATAGTATAGTGTTGTTTATTCCATATAAGTTATCATAAGGATGACAGTACATCAGGTATAACATCTTGTGAATATGGTGGTGGTTTGGTGGTTTGTTGTTTAACGCCACACTCAACAGTATTCCAGCTATATGACGGCGGTCTGTAATTTATCGAGTCTGGACCAGACAATCCAGTGATTGACATCATGAGCATCGATCCACGCAATTGGGATCGATGACATGGATCAACCAAATCAGCGAGCCTGACCACCCAATCCCGTAAGTCGCCTTTTACGACAAGCATAGTCGCCTTTTACGACAAGCATTGTCGCCTTTTACGGCAAGCATGGGTTGCTGAAGACCTGTTCTACCCCGGAATCTTCACGGATCTCTTCACTGGTGACCTTGTATATACGGGTCAGCGAATGAGAGATGACACCAGGGACTAGATAGTGGAGTTAGTATATAAAATAACTCTATTTGAAGATAAAAACCTAAAATGTGAAAAGTAGGAATGGCTGAATTCGGAACCTCTAAAGCAAAGCAAGGACCGGCTAGATTTAAAATTATCCGCACGGCGATGAGGGAAATGCTTTATTTAATACTTTTACGTTGTTGTAGTTTTCAATATATACTTCGATAAAAACGAAATTCGCATAAAACACAAGTGCTTGTGGGTATCTCAGACATCTTATCTTGAAAATAAATAAATTTCCTCTTTTTTTTTCGGCACAAATGTACCTTTCAAACGCGGAAGAGGTCATGCTCATGTGGTTGCAAATTCATTTTTTACCTAAGACTTCATTAAACCAGTTTATTTTTACATAAAATTACCAAGCCACAGATTATTTTTAACAAACTGTAGCAGAAATGCGTGATGGTTAAATAGACATTATCACATTCAACAACAGTTCTTTCAGTTTTTAATAACATAACAAAACTCATTACTCTCTATACTATCTTCATCTCCTTAGTTTATAAGTCACATGACAAGCACGTGTTTAATTTAAAATACTCTGGATACCTGCAATTGTGCTTTGGCAAATATCGCTAAGATTGTCCATGAACTCGATATCGTACTCTTCAACGTACAACATCAACGCTAACATCTCGAATATAGGCCGAAACAGATTACACTCTCCGCAACATCATATCGATATTGGCTGATTGGAGTTGGAGCCGATTGTTGCATGTCTGTAGGTCCCAAAGCGCGGAAGGGTCCGACCCCTAACTGCTCTAAGGTAGAAACGTTCCTGCAGAATCCGATTCAAATCTTAAAAAAAGATTCAAACCCAAATTGCAAAATGATCCGAACAAAAACGCCATGGTATCCGAGCCAAATCCCGAGTGAGTGGAAATCAGTAATTTCAGCCGTAGCAACGCTAAGATAGTCAGTGATTGTTTTTGTATTGGAAGAATGAAATAAAGTACGAGTACAGTAAACGACGTTTATAACAAACACTCTTATAACGAACTGACCGATAAAACAAACTTATTTCTTAGTCCGGGCCATTTGTGGTATATATGCTTATAACGAACTGCGGTTATTACGAACTAGGGTTAGTGGTCCCTTTTTGTTCGTTATAACTGTAGTTTACTGCTTATGTGTTGAACTGGCGAACGATTAATATATACATGCATGTTCTACAGTCAAGTCAAATGTATTTTGCCAATTGGCTATGTAGTATTATAGAAATAGCAGAAGTAACATCATGGGAAATCGCAGTAAAACAGATAATGTATGTTGAAGATAAGTATGTTGTATGATGGACGTTTTTCAAAAGGTACACATCAAACATTATGACGTCACGACTCAGGCCTTCCAGTCAGCGAGTGTCCAATCAGATGTCTAGATTCGTTAACGAAAAACACTTATTGAGTAGCGCGTTGCTGACTCTCCGTGCTATGTCTGCATATACTGAAATGGAATGAGGGAGTGAGTGAGTTGGGTTTAACGCCGCTTTTGACAGTATTCCAGTGATATCACGGCGTGTCAGCTTAATGTGGGAGGAATGCCCGAAGTGATGCAGGTCTCAGACGTTTACCACTTCGGTGAAACCCACGAGCACGGGTATGGTGCTGACAAACCTAGAAACATAATCGGGGCGAAACGGGATTCGAACCCACAATCATAGGTTTCTGGCTTGCCCAAGGGACGCAACTCTGCTCAGCGAATTGCGGCGCCTTAGACGACTGGGCCACCGTGCCCCCAGAAATGGAACGAGAATGACGTACCCAACTCATCGATTTCTCTCACACAAACATTCACCAGCTCGCTTATGTTTTGTCTCTGTATTCATGTTCTTAAGAAATATCTAGTAGTACCAAAAGCAGAGTCGAATGTACGATTCCGACTATTTCATGAGCATGTGTTTATAAATCACTATCAAACAGTGACGATACCATGTGTTCGCGAAAGGGTGTGCTTATTCTAAATACGGGAACAGATGGTACCCAGATTGTACCCATGTGGGGAATCGAACGCGGGTCTTTTTAAATAATAGGCAACCCCACCGCTCCCCTGACGTCACGGTTCTTTGAAATCTTAGTAAAAGGAGCACGCTCAAATCTACCTCAAAAGTTGTGAAATGTAGACAATGTAGAGACCAGTGACCTCTTTCAATGTCCAACAACTTATTTATTATACTGAATTTATATATGATGTATGATGAATTTACGAATAATATCGAGAAATGTCCATTAAATTATCCTTTCAGAGTAAAACACAATTTCTCGTTTGAGGAGAGAGAAGCACCAGCGGGAATTAACAATAATTCTATTGTTATCAAAAAGGCCGATAAAGGTGGAGCTGTGTTCATTATGGATTCTGCAAATTATGAGTGTACAAAAAACAGTGTCCAGCTATTTCAGTGAGTGAGTGAGTGAGTTTGGTTTTATGCCGCTTTTAGCAATATTCCAGCAATATCACGGCCAGAAAAGGGCTTCAGAGAGAGAGAGAGAGAGAGAGAGAGAGAGAGAGAGAGAGAGAGAGAAACCATCTAACATAGTACGAGCGAGTGACTGAGTGGTTGGTTTTAA